ACAGATGTGTCTATACCTCACTGGATAGTTTGTCTTTCAGTTTTCCATAGCCCAGTCCAGCCAGCTGCTTGTGCAGAACAGAGCTAAGAGGCTGTGTGCAGCACGAACCCAGACTTGCAGAAGGGGATGCTGGCCCAGGGCCCTCCCTGGCTATATGGAGGCCTGGTAATAGGGTGTTCTCATTAAATTAAACCCTTTCTTCCTCTCATTTTCCCCATCTTCAGTTTGTTGAATAAAAACAAAACATAAAAATACGAGATGAATAATCTGAGCTGCTTCCTCAGCTCAGCCTGCCACCTTTCTGTAAGGACCTGTATGCCTGTTACAGCCTCAACCAGTGCACTGGGCGGGCAACAGGAGGGCTGGGGATGTGGTACAGCATTAGTAATGGGGAGATGTTATAGCAGAAAAGGACAGTGCCTACGGTGTGGGATTTCTGGGATATGTGGGCAGAACCTACAAATCCAGCACTGTCTTCTTGCTGCATGCAGCAGCAATAGAACAGGGAACCTGCAACCAGCCACCTCTGCTGAGGAGCAGCTGACTGCAGGATGAGGTGATGCTAGTGTTTGTAGGACCTGCAACCAGATGAAAACAACAGCAGAAAGTTAGGACAGAAACAGAACAACCAGAGGCTTTAAGTATTTTACCGTGAGTACAGCAAGTGAGGGTGATTTTTTGGCATAGGTAAATTCTTTACCATTTCCTGTACTAAAAATTGCTCAACAAGTAGTGACTGATGGTTGCTTTGGCTGGATTAAAGATATCCTAAATGCTTGTTTGAAACAAATGGGAATTGTACAGGATGAACAAAATAAAGATATAATCTAGGCTTTGCAAGAAGTGATTAATGAAAGTAGTAATTTTATTTGTGTTTTGTTTAGCCCTCTAAATAACTACCCACATATTTCCATTCTTTTGTTCCCAGTCTTCATCTGCCAGACAAAGTGCTTCCCACACTTATTTTCAGGTCCCAAGAGTGGCAAATATTACAGGAATGTAAATAAATTCAACAGCAGCACCAGATGGAGTTTGGTATTAGGACACCTGGAGGAGGTGGAGGGAAGAAGGAGATAGAAAAGAATAAAACATATATCATTACTAAATATAATCAATGCCAATTTTTTCATAAATGCCGGGTTGTCTCAAGCTTGAATAGCAGGTGTTAAAGAGGGCTGTAAACTGTGATTATTTAACAGTGACCAGTTAACCAAGATAACTCTAAGTGAACTGTGTGGAGAGCATGCCTGAAAACATGCTGGACTTGCTGTGTGCTCTGTAAATCTCCCGTCTTGTAAAGTGTTTTTCCACAAATTCTTTCAGGAAAGCCCAAGGTGTACCAAGGTGTTAGAGTAAAGATTACAGTTAAGGAGTTATTACAGCAGAGAAGAGCACAACAAGCAGCAACTGGTGCAGCAGTAAGTAAAAATCTGCTTTGTCTCTTCTGTCTTAATCCTTTTTTTGCCAAGACTATAATCCCTGGGCCGAGGAGACTGCCGAAATCTGAGTGTAGTAGGTTGGGATAGATGGACATTGAGCCAGGGTAATGGCAGCAGTGATCTGAACAGGTGATGGCGTGAGCCATTTGCGCAGGGCGAAAGCAGAGCAGGTGCTCCAGAAATGCAGCTCAGTGGGATTAAAGGCCCACATGGATAAATTTCAGTCCAACTTATAGTAATCACAGCAACTCCAGTACCATTATGCTGCATGAACAAGGCAGGCTGTGATCACTGCCCCCTGTTTTAAATGTGGCCAGGCTGGGCTGAAGCATGCCCCAAACTCTTCTGTCAGCATCAGGTGGAGCATGTGCCCAGGGTACGCCTTCAGGCTGACTTGTACAGCTTTGAGGACCAACCACTGCAAAGCTCTGTCATGCTAAAGCTCCCTTGACCTTCCCCTTTTCCACAAGTCTCAGCCCTCCAGGAAGCTGCTTTCAACCACCCTCCTGCCTCTGGAGGCTTTCTCTTGTCCAGTTAGATCTTGCAGGAAATCAAGGCACCAGAGGTACAGTGCCTCCAGCAGCTCCTGGCCAGTGGAGAGAGTTCAGGAATCTGGGACTTACCAACAGCCCCAAATTTTGCCTAGCGTAAAGGAAAAAACAAGGCATGGGCCAAGACCCCTTCAGCAGGGCTCCATCCTGCTCCATTAGGGCTCTTTAGCATAATATTCAAGCAAGCTTGACTGAATTCAGGTCTCCGACATTTTTCAGTACCACTTGGGCAGCTACTGGCCCAATCCCTTCTAAAGAAGGGGATGGAGATCTCTGCGTGCATGTACCCACAGAATTACTCTCTCTCACTCACACTTCCAGTCTTTGTAGGAGCCCTCTAGCTCCAGTCACTCCAGGGATTTGCATAAAGAGGTTGGTAAATCATTACTTCTTCCTGGTTCGTGACACTGCAGCTTTGGATGGTTTTCAGATTTCATCTCCCACCTCCTGTACCTCACTGCAGCTGATTGCACAAAAAGGTGATCAGCCCGCAAGCCGCAGGCAGAGAACAACGCATAAACCTGCTGGCCTTTGGAAATGCTGGGTCACCCCTCCCCTCCAGCCCAAGAGGAGGCAAACTCTTCATCGCAGCCAGGCATCGCAGGGCTGTGTGGAACTGGTTTTTGCTGCTCACTGCAAGTTTACACAGCGCTTGTTTTGCCCACGCAGGAAAAAGTGAAAAGTGGCAGTGCAGGAAGTTACCTTTGTGATCTGCAAAAGGTACATGTTGTTGTCCTGGAGAAGCCCTAGAGGTTAGGGCTGGCAGGATTGGCTGCCTCCATGCGCTGAAAAAAGCTGAGCCTGAAAATATCTGCTGGTGGTATGGCTCTGTCTGTCATGTTACACGTCTGCAGCCAAAGAGAAGGATCTTTCAGCCCGGAATAGCCACTATTTAATTAATTAAATGTCTGGGGATGTGATAGGAAGCTGTTGCTAGGGAAATGAGCCACTAACTCGAAAGCATTTTGAATAAACAAAATTAAATGGAAGTCCATATGAATTAAAACTGAGGAAAAAATATAGTGTTTGTATTTGCAGAGTAAAATCCTCATCCCAAATAAGCAGCATCAACACTCCTGTTGTTTTTGGGGTGGATTTCTCACTGCCAGCAGGTCAGGTTCCTAGAACAGATTGATCTGCCTGCTTCAGCTTTCACCATCCCTTAGAAAATGAGACTCTTCATTTTCATGGAGTCACATAGCTGTGTTGGACTGGGAAGCAATGTTAGAGCTGGTTCTAAAACTACATGGGCACCAAGCAGAGTTACTCAGTCTGATGCGCAGACATGGGGATACCTGTCTTTGGTCATGTTTCAAGGGTTATGGCTACAATTTGTTAATTACTGATTCTCAAGCATATTCATTCCTACGAATCCTTTGGGATCCCTCCACTGTGGATTTCATGGTTAGTTTCAAAGTCAGCCACATCTCTGCTGAATTAACAGCAATAATGCAGGAGGAGGAGCACGCTAGCAAGGTGCTTTACTGGGGGCTTTACATCAGGCTGTTGTAGTCTTCCAGTGCCATTACAGGCTCAGGGAAGATCAAGCTCTACACGTTAATCTGTTCTGTCAATGCTAGGGAAGTTTTCTGTGTCACAGCCGTGAGATAAATAAGGTTTACATAAATAGGTTGAAGTGAAATCCTGACTTACCTCAGCATGCAGTGGAATGCTTCCCTCTGTTACAGTACCTACAATTCCTTTTCTTCCCTTCTCTTCCGTCAGGTTTCTTGGGGCAGCAGCAGCATCCAGTTTTCGGAGCCCGTGTCTCCTCCTCACCCAGGTTGGTACAAAGCCCATCCACGTCTCTTCCCACCCCCTGGCCAGTTTTTCCCGCAGCCCTTAGCTGAGGCAGGCACTACCAGGTAATCGGCAATGCAGCCAATCAGCACCTGCAAGGAGCCCGTGAAATGCAGATGAGAATGTGAAGCCAGCAGGCAGGCTCTGTGTCACCTTGTGCAGGAGCAGGCTCACATGCTCTCATTTGTGCAAGAAAGAGATGCTCATCCCCTAGGGAATAGCCCCGCTGGCATCTTCTCCTCCAGGGAGCAGTTCGGGTGCCCGACTGGAGCTAGAGGGTCAGACCACGCTGGAGCACTTTGCTGAGCTCCAGCAGAGTCGGCTGCTCTCAGTTTCCTGGCAGCATCAGTACAAGTGAGAGGAGTGTCAGGTTTTCAGCAACACAGAGTTTCTTCCTCCTGTATGTGAATATCCAAGGAAAGGGGGAAGGGGTGGGGGGAGTGGAACTCTGGGCTCACAGTTCCTGTGATTATTTTTCAGCCAAAGCAGCAAGACCTGAAAGATTTGGCAAGTGTGAATATATACATTGTATGGACAAGGAAACAAATCATCAATATAAGCAAATAATCAATTTGCTTATGGTGATAAAGAAATGTGAGAGCTGCCAAAGCTTTTTCAGGCTGGAAAGTCTCCATGTGTTTATGTATTTTGGGTGTTTCTTACTTCCCTGTACGCAGCCTTGGTGAGGCTGCACCTCAAGCACTGTGTCCAGTTTTGGGCCACTCACTACCAGAGGGACACTGAGGTGCTGGAGAGGGTACAGACATGGGCTACCAAGCTGGTAAAGGGTTTGGAACATACGTCATATGAGGAATGGCTGAGGGTTCTGGGGCTGTTTATCCTGGAGAAGAGGAGACTGAGGGGAGACCTTATCGCTCTCTACAACTACCTGAAAGGAGGTTGTAGAGAGGCTGCAGTTGGAGTTGTTCTCCCTAGTGGCGAGTGATAGGACGAGGGGAAATGGCCTTCAGTTGTGTCAGGGGAGGTTCAGGTTGGATATTAGGAAGAATTTCTATACTGAAAGGGGTGTCAGATATTGGAACAGGCTGCCCAGGGAGGCGGCTGAGTCGCCATCCCTGGAGGTGTTTAAGAGAAGGGTAGATGTTGCGTTGAAGGACATGGGTTAGTGGTGTTGATAGGGCTGGGACAAAGGTTGGGCTGATGATCTTGAAGGACTGGAGTTCCTCAAGTTATTTGCATGCTTTTGAGCATCTTCCTCCTGGTGTCTGCTTCCCTAGAAAATTCACCCGGAACTTGAAGGACCTTTTTCCTTGTCTAAATCCATAGGGCTACTGAACATTTGGAAGTACTGAAACCTGACCTCAGGCAACACCTGCCCTTTGTGAAGACAGATACTGAATAATCTGCTACTGTCTGTTTACCTTCTCTCCTAGCACCTTTTGATGCAGAACCCATCTCTTCTGTTCCCAACTTTTGTCCATCATGGCAGTTTTCGAATTGCCTCTCCTGCGAAGAAAGTCCTAGCTATTTGGAGCAGCTGGTAGACTCTTGTCTTCAGACAGATGCGCCCTTAGACCCAGCCTTCAGTGCTTTCCAGACGTCCTCGCACTACTCCTCAGACACCTTTCAGTCCGTCCCAATCTGCTTTAACCAGGGCCTGGTAAGCTTTCTGTCCCAGGGCAGCAGCCACAGGTGCACTCCGAGGGAAGATGGGGAAGGAGTTCACATCCTGGGGCAGAACAGCAGCAATCTGATTTGAAACGTGGCTGTTTTTAGGGGCATGGGGTACAGCCACAGCAATGAACGCTGCTTGGGTGGACTTCTGCATGGCTTCCCTTCGGAAGCAGGGGACTGGGAGGCCCAGCCAAACTTATACAGAAGCTGCAGAATAGCTCCTTCTACAGGTCCTGTAGATTTTCCGCAAAGAATATTCCAGTTCCTGATAGTGCATATCTAAACTCACAGAGAAACTCCCTATTAACACTAATGTCACAGGAACAGCCTCTTGAGTTTAGGACTCCAAGGACCAAACCCCGGGTAATGAGAACCTCCTTAGCAAGAGGGTGGAAATTCTGGCTGCTGTCCACATTTCCCCAAATGACACCCTGAAACATCCTGATTTGTCTTGTCTTTTCTCAAACTCTAGGCTGCTGGATCACCCAGCTCAGCTGATCTGTCCAGCCCACTGAACTATAGCTGCTCTTCTCCTCAGCTATCTCCTTTCACCCCGCTGACCCACAGCCCACCCTCTGCTCTGGACACCAAGACTTGCGGCTAAGCTGCGGGGGGGGGGTCCTGCCATACCCTCTCCCCATACAGCACCTCTGCCTGCTGCTGCACAGCCTGTGGCTCCCAGCACACGGACAACAGGGTCCCGCAGTACTTCCCCTGCCCCAGCACAGACTGCATGGACTACCTACCACCGCTGGCCATGGCCGAGGACTTCTTCAGAAGGGATAGGAACTGTGACATCTGCTATAGCTAATGGGGACTGTGGTTTTACCTATCCACTGTATCCAAATCAGATTAATTGCCCATGAACTATGCAAAGTTGTGCTGCCTAACACAGTCCATTTTATTCTTCACTACTCACACATTTTCTACATGACGCTGTCACTACGTTAATTCTCCTGTCTTGTATGGTCAGAGGTGTTCTGTTGTGGTGGTGGTGGTTTGTTGGTTTGTTTTTTTTCTGTTTTCATTGTTTTTTAAAGAAATTCTAAGCTGCCTTACCAAACACACATCATTAAACCAACTCTTTTTGGTAGAAATAAATAATTTGGTATGCACGCTGAAGCCCGTTCATTCTTCATGTGCTAAATCTCAGTGCTTTTCTCTTCTGGAAATGATGCAGGATCCTGGCTCTGTTCTCACGAAGGTGAGAAGAAAGATTCTCAGTAACATACACAAGGAGCAGTTACTCAACAGCATGAAAGGTCTCACTTTACCCTTTCCAGCAGATAGGAAGTCTATACATATCTCAGATGTGACAACATCCTCTAGTGGTTCTTGCAGAAAAGGAAAACTCTCTTCTCCACGCAAGCTCAGGGCTTAGCCCATGGGTCATGTGCCAGAAAGGCCCCTCAGACCTGCACAGAGGTTGAATCCAGTGTCAAACTTCTTTGGATATTGCTCAACACCAGCTTCCCTGTGAAGGCAGGGTTTCAGCAAGAGGGTGATGTAGTTTGGCGGCTTTTTGTATAGCTTGGTTTGTTGATATCAGGTTTTCAGTCAACTGAAGAGAAATGATTGTTATTAATCGTAGATAATGGGAAAGTTATCACATCTAATGATTCCCTTGGTAGACTGCCAAGCCACCAGTTTCTCAGCTGAGCACCCAGACTGTAAAGAAGCATCTTTCCATATTAAATCCAGCATAAATGAAAAAAATAACTACAATTGTGTGGACAGACACATAGTTTAATTAGCTGTAGGCTCAGACCTTCTCCTCCAGACACTTCTACAGTTAACCGAAAAGCTTTCCTCTCCTCAGAGCTGAAATTACCCATATAACCACGGACAAAACAGACACACATATCTGGCTGGCAAATGGTGAGGTTTCCTTCATTCTATAAAACCCCCCAACCAGTATTTCCTCACCCTGTGAAATCTATCAATAACTAACATTTTTTTAATGAGACTTTTGAAAATATTTATATATTGTCAGTTATTTCAACCTTCTATCCCCACCTTCATCAGAATACAGAACTGCTACCTCCCATGCATCTTCCAGGTTCTCTTGATGTTCTATGTGAACTAAAAATGGCTTTTTTTTTTCCCATATCCAGTCCAAGTCCCTGGACAGGACATTTAAGTTTTGCCATACTAGACAAGACTACACAGCAATAACTGTACTTTTCCAACATCAAGTTCCTTTACCTTATTTAAGGTGGCAGCTTTTTTTTCCAAAACTTGCTTTAAAACACTATGACAATTTAAAACAATATCTTCCCCTCTCCCCTGATTGTTGTTGCCTGATTAATTTCAGAGATAGCCCAAGAGATAAACGCATTTGGGCACAGAAAGCTTATAAACAGGAGTTAATAGCTCTATCTTCGATGCAGTTCAAGGTGTGATTACCCCTGTGTAGAGACACTCTTAATTAGGTGTCATTGTTAGTGCTTGCAGGTGCTTCAGCCTGAGTGTTACCTCAGGACACTGGAGGGTTACACTTCATTTGCTCCACAGCTTGCTCAGTGCTGGCTCCTCCTGTCCACTGCTCGAGGAGTGAGCACAACTTCAGCTACATGTCACGGCCCGTTATCACCAACATGAAAGAGCCACAAGAAGATAACGCTGAGGCAAGGTATTTGAGGCTTCTAGTGGAAATGGGGTGACCACATCCTCCCCGTGGGTTGGCAACGCTGGCCTGAGCTTAACAGAGCCAACATGAGGCTCTTCTACTGCAAAAGAAAACACATGTGAAAACGGTAGGCAAGCATCCAACAAGGATAGCACTTGAATTAACATATCTTACAGGGTTCATGGTATCGCAGCGACACAACAATGCCAGCAAGAAAGTCATGTGTTACAGTCTAACAACAGACCTCTTGCCTCCGCACGAGGCAGATACCTAAATCTAATACCTTATCAGCAGATTGCACATTTGTCAGCACGTTGTGGCACAGATCTGTACAGCTGTAAGTGGTTTCTTACAGTTTTCTTACAGTTATAAGTGGTTTCTCTTTCCAAAGAGGACCGCTCTGTGCAAAGTCTGTGCCGTGCAGAGGTTGCGCCCATCACCGAACCCATGGCTGCTGTTTCGTCATGACTACTGAGGAATGGCAGTGTGAGCAAACCATCCTACATCCCATTCTTATTCCTGCTCCTTGGATGCTGCCAGACCCAGCCAAAAAAAGCACTCCTGCAGTCGGGGTAGTCTTTGTAAGGGCTGGCCTGGTCTCACCATCGAGCTTCCACACTTCAGGGCTTGCAGGCAGATGAGGTCCTAAGGTACGGACCCTAAGAGTGTGTTCTTAAAGACAGCCAGTGTTTAGCAGCTGGTGGCCTCCTGCTGCATGGTACCAGCTGCTCTGAAATTATCAATTGCTCTGCTGTGACAAGGATATTTCCAACAAAACGTTTCTATGCACTGAGCTCTCTGGAATCTGACAGTTTCATCCCTTGCAGTCTCTTCCTATTCTCTGATGAACTTTCTCCAGTTGTTTTGCAACCCCTCGTGCCAGGAACTGGCAACATGTTTTAGACGCCACTCCCCGACTCCATGTCAATAGCTCCAGGTGACATAGGCAGCCTCAATTCCCTGTCAATAGCTCCAGGTGACACACGCAGTGCAAGTTAAAGCTTGCTGACTGTTGACACAACGATGTCTTGTTGACACAAGAAAGGGGGAAAAAAAAAACCAACAGAGGACGACTATTCAAAGGTGGATTGTGTGTTTCTGGCTCTGAGGAACAAATTCTTTCCCCCTCCTCCCCCTGGAAAAAGAAAAAAACTATAAAGAGGAGTTAAAGGAAAGTAGCTCGGGTCATGTCTCCAGCAGAGCTGGCACAGCACTACTGAAATGCTGGCATTTCTTCAGTCCCTGCCAGGTGAAGTTCTGCCAGCCCACATAAACATGTGTTTACACAAAAGCTAGGATCACCCAATTCTTATGAAAGCCAGGAATAACTCCATCAGTAACCTGCAGTTACAGAGAAAATAAAAGGTTCTTCTTTTCAGATTCTTTACCAGTTGCACAGAGTATTTGATCAAAAAGTTTTCCTTGCCAACCTACTGACAACTTTCTATGGTTCCACTTCAGAGGATTTGTTTGGTGATAACAAGCCTTTGTTATTAACAACTTTTGCAAAGCCACACGTAGGAAGAGATAAACTGTGCAAACAACAGGGTATCACACACTGCCAGTACTGCTATGGTTATAAAAAGTACATTTCCACTGAAACAGTCATAAAAAATCGAGGGGTTGACTGTGAACTAAGATCCTGCTCAAACAAACGGAATTCGCCCCAGCATAGAAAACTTAACATTCAGGCCACCTTTGTGCCCTGAAAGGGATTTTCTTGATACACAGGCCAGGAACTGGCTGGCCTGACAAGGGAAACAGAAAGGTGCTTTACATGCATGGCGAAGCTGGAGCCTCCAACTGTCTCGTGGATCCAGTCCAAAGGCAATACGAACACCTTGTTGACTGTGGTTGGCTTCAGAGCCAGCCCCTCACGTATGAGCTTTGGGAAGCTCAACACAGATGTGCCTGTTGAGAGAACGAATCCTTCCTGGACCAGTCATGGGTTCTTACCCCTACAGATCTCATCTATCAATTCTGAGCAGCACAGGCTGCCAGCACGACGCTTTGAATGAAGCCACATCCACTCCTCCCCAGACCGATACTTTCCCTGATATTCTGGAGACGGTGATGTTTACAGACTATAAATCACTGATGGCACTGCTCTGTATTAAACATCCGACAGGAGGAAGATGAAACAATAAAGAGATAAGCCACTCTAGAAAACAGCTCATGTATTTTTTCACTTGCTGCAAAAGGACTTCGGTCATCTCACGACATTTCTAAATGGCAAAAAGCTTTTTTAATTTTCCCTAATGCATCACATGCCACACAGTAGTCACAGTTTTACAGTTTTGTTGCTAGCAAGTTCAAGAAATGGATATTTTGTTGGCCACTTTTCCTTGACACACAGAGCTAACTCACCAATGCAGTTATCACTCAACTCAAGGCTTGTTATAACATCCCTTGAAAGTAAGAAAGCACATGCTTCTGCTGGCCTATGCCCAGGTACATGCAAATTTATGCAAACACATGCAAATACACGTCTGTTTTCTTGTCAGCCAATGATGACAGTTTTGTAGACATGAGGTAGTGAGAAGCAATAGCAAAACAGCAGAGAGGAGGGCTGAGAAAGTTGAGATCTCTGCATTTCTTAAGAGCTTTTAAGTCGGTTAAACAGTTGTTTAAACAGTCCAGGTCTGTGAGACTGACAAGTGCTTTAGAAAACCCCATCCCATTGAGTTAGTCAGTGGGGGACCAAGGAAGTTACTGCAGTGATTTAAGATATCTGCCCTTCATCTTGTTGTTCAGTCCTGTTAGAAAAAATAACTTGTGCAACATTGAGAAATCAGCGAACTATAATTCAGAATGTGTACCGAAGAGGAGACACTCTCTGTGAAAGGGTTGTCAAAACATGGCTTGCCCTCCCTTCAGGCATCTACCTTCAGCCCTGTTGACCTGGCAGAGACACCGTTGCCAGCTGATTGCACAGCAATTCACAAATCATTTCACAGAAAGAATAAGAAGAATCTGTATTAAAACACCCCTTAGATAAGATGGGAATAAGAGTGACCTTACCACATTGCACTCTGACCCTGCTGTGTACGAGCCCACGTGGCTCAAACGTTTTCTACCCTGTCCATGCCTAAAAGCTGTTGAAGACCTACAGGAAGCCTCTGTGTCCTACACAGATAGTAGCTCAGGTGGGGGTTCAGCTCCCCACTCAGAGGTGCTTCCAG